ATGTGATGAGAGCACAACAGAGGATTCTTGATCTTTAGTGCAGGAGCTTCATTTACAATATGCTTTCAGAGATCTCTTAGTGCCACCTGCTGGATTTATTAGATATTTCAGCTGAGTTGTGTTAAAAGACTTTGTCCTTTTTATTCTAGGACAGTTTTAGGACAATAATCCAGAACATGTTGATGAGACAAACACTGTGAATCTTGAACAGAAAGTTTGAACCTCACAGAAAAACAAATCCTCTAAAGTGAAGTATCTCAATGATTCTCCCGCTGAAAGTCACACAACCTAGAAAGACATTCACTAGAGCTAATATCTCAACCGAAGCCCAACTGTCCCCTCAGGAACCCACTTTTAAATTCACTAGATCCAAAATGTTTGCTGGGAATGTTTCTACCCAGAGTTCAGTAGTGATCATAGAGCAACGTCTGTTTTTATGTCATTAAATTACTTATCGAAACCAAACTTGAACACAACACTTGAACTAACATCAGTGTGATAAGAACTACGTGTACTTTGATTTTGTTTTGTTTGGACCATGTCCCATCTGCAAACATGGGGATGTCATGACGTCTATCTTGAATTCACTAAGCTACTCGCCTCCTGTTTCTACAATTAATCAAAACGTTGAAGTGGTCCTCCGTCATGTGCTGTCTGTGTTTTATACCAGTGTTTCATATATTTAGTTTGTGTGGTCCAGAAAAAAAAGATCATAGTTCTGTGGATTGGTTTGATCCACAAACATCCCTGGACTCGACGCCTCCGCAGCCGACGAACGGGATTCTAGCAGTGATGCCGTAAACGGTCTTTGTGACATTAGGATCAGCTGCTGACAGTGTTGTCGTCCAGTGTCTCTGGAGAAAACTCGATCATCTCAGCTCCGTCAGTGTTGTACTTCATGTCCCACACAATGTTTTCGTCATAGTCGGAGTTTCTCTTCAAACTCTCCAAGCGTTGGTTTGATATACTCCATAGAACTGATGTAGAAGCTCTGATCACAACAAGGACGAAGATTCAGCAAACAACCTTTAAAGACCTCCTTCAGAGGAATGCACCACGCTGCCCCCTGGTGGCGTCAAACAGAAACCAGTCGGATCATTTTTTTTTGTTCACAAGAGAAAGTCGATGCTGTTTGTTACTTACTTACAAACTTTCTTGCTTTGTTTCCTTCCTTGCCTCCCTCCCTTCACCACTTTCTCCCCTTCTCCTTCCCTCCTCTTACACTCGTCACCTCTGCAGAGCTGTGAACTTTCATCAGGAGAGAAAACCCAGTAAACAAACACGATCGTTCATCACGACTCAACAAATAACTGAAAGGTTGCTGCTCGACATGGAGCCACATCATGTTAGAGCTTTAAAACAAGCACAGGAACTTTAACATTAGTTCTTGTAACAACCTCAGGTTTCATTTAGGTTTCATTTCCTTTTTCTGGTAAAGATTTTAGCAGCTGTGTTCTGGAGAGTTTTTCTTCCTGGGATGAAAATCTCTTCACCTCATTTCTCAAATGATGAAAAACTGTTTCAACTGCGCTCCTCATCCACCGAACACAAATTAAATACAGTGGATACATTCAGATTTATCTTTTATTCTTATAGGTCATTTCTAGATTTCAAGATAAAATAATGGAGCAGTCATATATACAGTCACTGATGGTCTTTATATATAATCTATGGTGCTGAAACCTGGTGATGTTGGACTTCAATATAAAGTCCATCAGTGACTGTATATAAAGACTAACATATATATATATATAAAATATACACCCACATTGTTGTCTAGAAGAATATCTGTGTATATGCCTAAAGTAACTCAGTGCTTTTGTAAATATCACAGAAATAAAAAGCTATACAACCTCAACACAAAACACAGGCTTGTTTTAGTTTTTTTAAAGATGTGACATAAAAAATCTAATGCTGTTCATGTTCTGCTGCTGATTGGTCTGAATAAAACCACCAGCCAATGAGAAACAACCATATCTGACGTGGACCAATCAAATTTTGAGAGCGGGAGTGAGAGAGAAATAGAGAGAGGGAGGAAGAGAGAGAGAGACAGAGAGAGAGAGAGCGAGCAGGTGAAACGACAGGTAAGCTCAGCTGTTTGATTTTAGTTAAAGTTCATTAACGTAACGACCGAACTGAAGTTTCAAATTGATCAAAGACATTTTTCAAAGAGGAAAATAGATGACATAAGATTTTCTGAAAGTGACGTCATACAAAAAAAATATCTGAATATTTGTGTATTCATCGCAGTGACGTGAACAACTTCACTTACATCATGATGACATCACAGTGTTTCATACGATCTATGAATGTATTTAATTCAACTTCAAAAGTTAAAGGTGTACGTGGACGTGTTCAATGTTTAACATCTGAATGTGTCTCAGGATGATCCGTCTGTTGCTGATGTGTTTCGTCTTCTGCGTCGTCCACGGCAGCAGCAAACAAACAGAGACCGAGACCCCAGTGATTGAGGAAGAGCTGGTCAGTCCCCTCGAACACGACGAAGACCGCGACCACGACCAGGAAGCTTCTGTGGCTCAAGATGGAGCGAGAAGCTTCAACCAGCTCCCCCCAGAGGAGAGCATCCGTCGGCTCGGGTGAGTTCAGGAGTTGGAGCCTCTTGGTGTTTTGCTTTGTTGCTTCTATAAAGTCTTTGGGTTCCACATCGTCACAGTTTCACTGAGATCAGTTCAATAGTTTTTGCAGAAAACAAACTAACAAACAACCTGATGACAACAAAACGTCCTCGGTGGATTTAATGAAACAAATCACAGAGTTCAGGTTCAATTCCTCAGCTTGAAGATTAGTTTGTAAAGTTAATGAGAAAAAGAACCAACAGTGAAGAGACAGTTTAACAGACGTGTGTACGTGTCACCTGTCTCACATCAATCACCTGCAGGTGTGTCGTCCTGTAAATGTCTCCTCTTGTTGGAAACACTCAGCTCTTTATTTCCTGCTCCGCAGGTTTATGCAAACTCTCGTTCAACGAGTTCAACCTGTCGATGTTTTTAATGTTGGAAAAGAGAATTAAAAAAAAACATTTCTTCAAGTTAATCATTTAAAAAACGTTTTAATGTCACAGACAAAACGCAAACATGACATTTTTACGATGACATCAGACGTGTGATTTCATATTTCAGAGCTTCTGAACTTTATTAACGGTGTCTCTCTGCAGAATCATCTTGGACAGAATCGACATCAACAAAGACGATTTCATCTCCGTGGACGAACTGAAGATTTGGATCCAAACCGCTCGGAGAAACTACACGAATGAACGAGTGGAGAAGCAGTGGAAAGATTACGACGCAGACGAGGACGGACTGATCAGCTGGGACGAGTATAAGAACGTCTCGTATGGCGGCTACATGGGTAAAAAAACAACCAATCAAACACTGAGTCACGTTTACGTCACACAGCCTCTGATCAGTTTGTCGTCACTTCCAACAGACGACCCTCACATACAAGAGGATTTCAACTTCACCCACGAGATGCTGCGGGACGAGCGCCGCTTCAGAGCCGCCGACACCGACGGAGATTTAAACGCTGACAAACACGAGTTCAACGCTTTTCTTCATCCTGAAAACTACAGACACATGAGGGACGTCGTGATTCAGGCGAGTGATGTCACCGAGGGATGTGATGTCACATGATGTCACTGAGAGCTGTGATGTCACTGAAGCTCATCCAGTGTCATATGTTAACATGTAAATTATTTTATTTTAATTTGTATGAACAGGAAACAATTGAGGACTTTGACAAGAACGAAGACGGTTTCATCGACCTGAACGAGTACATCGGTAAAAAGTTCCCCTGTTTTTAAAATCCATTAAATATGTGAAGGTTCTGTGAACTACAAAGAATCTTCAAAGTCAAATCAGTTGTTTAGGAATGACGGACGTTTAAGATGAAACTCAGACATTTAGTGTCAGGAAGTGGAGGAGGTAGAGGAGGAATAGAGGAGGTGGAGGAAGTGGAGGAAGTGGAGGAGGAATAGAGGAAGTGAAGGAAGTGAAGGAAGTGGAGGAGGTAGAGGAAGTGAAGGAAGTGGAGGAGGTGGAGGAAGTGGAGGAGGTAGAGGAAGTGGAGGAGGTAGAGGAAGTGAAGGAAGTAAAGGACGAATAGAGGAGGTGGAGGAAGTGGAGGAGGAAGTGGAGGAGGTATAAGAAGTGAAGGAAGTGGAGGAGGTAGAGGAGGAATAGAGGAGGTGGAGGAAGTGAAGGAGGTGGAGGAGGAAGTGGAGGAGGTATAAGAAGTGAA